GACCTCTGTTGGGACAAAGTAGAACTCATCCGTCGTAGCGTTCCACCGTACTCCCAATGTCTTAGTGGTGCTGACCTCTTCGAGATCAAGAAAATCAGTCGAAAGTAGATGCTCTTTAGGGGTGCACGTTCATTCGATGTCCACTTGCGGAGAGGGAATCCAGCTGAGTTCAGAGCTGCTTGCAGCTCCTGAATGGCTAAAATAGCTTCAGCTTCTGTATGGGCTCCTGCTAGCACATCGTCGACATACATATAATTTGAGATTATATGCGACGCCCGTGGATATTGGGCGTTGACATCGTCGGACAATTGTTGCAGTGTTCGTAGGGCCAGGAAAGGGGCACAATTCACTCCAAACGTGACCGTCTGAAGCTCGAAGTCGGATATATCCCCTTGGCCATTTCAAAAGAGAATCCTCTAAAACTGAGTGTGCTCTTGGTTTAGGAGAATTTGCCGATACATCTTGGTGATGTCGGCATTGAAAACGAATTTAAACGTCCGCCACTTCAGGATTTGAAGAGTGATCGGACTGCAGTACTGGCCCTGGATACAGAATGTCATTAAGGCTGTTCCCATTGGAAGAAGGACTGGATGCGTTGAAAACTACACGAACTTTCGTGATCGCACTTTCGGGCTTGAATACTGCGTGATGGGGTAGATAGAAATTTATCTTGTCGGTATTCGGAGGCACCGGCTTCATATGGCCAAGATCGATATATTCTTGGATCACTGAGTCATAAGTGTCTTTGAGAGCGGGCTCCTTCTTCAAGCGAGTCTCATTCCTCAGAAACTGTGCGAGTGCGGAACTCCTCGAATGCCCCAAGTCAATGTGCTCTGAATCTTTGAAGGGCAGGGATACTATATATTTCCCGTCGCAGGATCTGGTAGTTGTTCGGACGAAAAAGTCTTCACACAACTTGTCCGTCTCCTTTACCAGTCTACATGGAAGGTCCTCCACCTCCCAAAATTTTGTGAGAAGTGTTTCCATGTTGCTTCGGACTCTATGGATATTTGTGTGGTAAAAGACGAAACCCTACTAGTGGTTGAAGACACTGGGCCGGTCAAAATCCACCCGAAAATGGTCTCTTGCGCTAATAAAGACCCCCATACGTTTGGCCTCCAGCCTGATAGCAGGACAGACGGAAGAATATCCGCACCTAGAAGAAGGTCTATCTGAGACGGCTGGAAAAACGACGGATCTGCCAATGGCATATTGGGCAGCCTATCAAAAATGCTTCGATCAATTGTGCTTGTCGGAAGATTGCCGGCCAGGTTCGGCAGCACAAACGCCGTCGTGTCGATCTTGAGCATAGGTTTGGCCGGAGTGACCATCTGGAAATGACACATTTTTTGTGAGACACCGGAATTGGCTTGGTTGAGCCCTGTGACTCTTGTCGTTACGGCTTGAAATGGAAGTCTAATCCGGTTGGCAAGCCTCTCAGAAATGACAGTGCCTTCGGAGCCTGAATCTATCAGGGCACGTGCTGGAAAATTCTCTCCTCGGTGGCACACATGAACTATGGCCGTACCTAGAAGTACTCCTTGTTGGTTGGAGGCGAAATGAACTGACGTGTTTGAGATTGGCTGCTCAGGAGGGTGAGCCGGCGCTGTGCTAACAGCATTAGACGGATTATCTTTGTGCAAGAGCGTATTATGCCGTCCCCTGCATGTGAAGCAACTATGCCTGCTCGTGCATTCACGAAGATTATGTCCCCTTGCAAAGCAATTAAGGCACAATCTCTTTTGCTTAATATATGATGCTCTTTGTGGTTGAGTCGAGGACAAAGCCGAACTGGATGAGGCTCTCTGGAGCAGAGATCACAAAATCGTGCGCGTGGCCCGACTTGTGTCTCGAAGGTATTTACCCTCCTTGGTTGTGCACTTCTGGGCTCCCTTGAATGCTGTGTGCTGGAAGAATTGGGTCGAACATCCTCAATTGCTTCCAACGTGCGATATCTCTCCTCGAGAAAGGAATTCATTTCTTCCCAGGCTGGGATCGCGGACTTATTGGTCAAGGACTGCTCCCATAACGAGAGAGTGACCTTCGGCAACTTGGAGGAGATTAGAAAAAATAGAAGGCAGTCCCAATTTTCCGTGGAAATTTGTGAATGCTCGAGGGCTATCAAGCACCCTTGAATTGTGCTCTGCAGATCTTTCAAGGCCGTGCCTGATTCACTGCTTAGGGTCGGAAGACTAAACAGGATTTTTAGTTGGCTGTTTACCAACAATCGCTTATTTTCAAAGCGATTCTGAAGCGCTGACCACGCGGATTGGAACCCATCATTAGTCAGCGGAGACTTGGCCACAATGGCGTGAGCTTCGACGCTAGTTTTGGCGTTTAAGTGGAAAAGCTTTTCCACTGGAGTTAACCTGGAATTATTTACATAAATGGCCGTAAACAGGTCACGAAAAGTGGGCCAGCGCAGATAATCTCCGTCAAAGATCTCTGTATCGCATGGCGGGAGACTGCAACCCCTCGAGAATGTCTCTGTCGGCGGAGCTGTTCTTGGCGGTGAAGTGGGGGCGGACATACGGTCGATGTCTTCATCTAGCTTCGAAGCACATCTTTCGTACACCGCATAGCAGTGCTCATATTTATTTTGAAGTAGCGGAAGATTTCCGCTACCTCCCTCGCGAAGAGCTGCTTTGGAAGCGGTTTCATACTCCCGTTCAACCTTTTCCCATAAGGATTGTATCTGATCCAGACGGATCTTTAAGGTAAATGAACTAGGCTCGGAAGGGGATGCCGTAAATATCTGGCTTTCAAAATTGCTAAGACGGTCGCTAGTTGCTATGAACTCAAGCAAAATACTGTCTAAAGTGCTCTTGGCTTTGGATCTCAAATTACTTGACGGTCCCGCGCCCGTGTTTCTCGGACTCGGTTCCCGCCTTTGACTTCCATCTATTGTAGGCGCTAACTGCGCTCCCTCCCTCTTCTGACTCGCGTCTTGCGGAATTGATTCTTATCCTTCCGACATTTTTTTTGGATTGGATTGGCAAGAATATGCCGTAGAATTCGAATGTTAGACTTATTTGCTCCCAATACCGTCAACTAAATCGACGAAGTAGAAATGTGAGACGGTAAAAACGAAACGATATGGATGGCAAGAATATGCCGTAGAACTCGGATGGTAGATGGTGGATGGTGGAATTAACCAATCTCAGAATTGCAAGTAAATAAACTGGAAAAAATTTACTTGAAGTAGAAGCGACGATAATCGAAAATATGTGTAGAGGACTCAATATTAATTGGAGCAGATGCGACGAGAATCGAAAAAATTTGTAGTGGAACCAATATTAATTGGAGCAAATGCGACGAGAATTTTAATTTATTTGACCAAATAGCTAATTGCTGGACGGAAATGCCGAGTTGTTTATTATTTTCGTATTTAATAGTAAACCAATAAATGAAAAAAAATATATATATATATGGAGTACCCTTGACAATTGCGGATATTTAATCGAGTGCAAAACTTTAAAAAGTATTTAATGATCAATTATTAATTAATAAAAATATTAAGTATAAGGAAAAAATATATCTGAATGGTGGGATCGGAACACCTGACACCTTTCTTCTCAACTCAATGTTCGTTGGGATGCGCTGCCGGCAATGTAAAAGCTCTTGGTTATGTATGTATGTAGATGTCGCGGCGGCAGCGGAACTATGTAAGGCGCACCAATAAAATGCAGAAAAAAAGACGGACACTGGCTTACAAAGTTTTGTTTCAATATTTTGTTCTTTATTATATTATATTTTGATTTTCTTGTTTAATATGTATTTTTTTTTCAATGTCGTATGTAAATGTATGTGTATGGGGAAAAAAATATAATATGGAATAATATGTGTTTTATATGGCGGAAATATGATATATGGATTTATTATAATAATATATACTATATATATATATATATATGGATGTTAGCAGCGGACTGTATTATTTATTATTTGTAATTTTTTATTATCGGAATCATATTATTTTTTTTTTTATTGTGCGAAATAAAATCAATGTCTTTATGTAGACCGATGTATGGACATATGTATGTATGAATTTTATTCTTGTGTCGGAACCGTTTTGTACATTGATGTACGGATAAATCCCAATATGTATAGAGGAAACCGGACGAAAAAGAATATGGGGACGTTTAAAACGGAGACGGATTGAAAAAAAATTTGCAAATTTTAGGAAATGGAAAATAAGAAATGGAAAATTCCTCAACTGCCGTTGTCAGGAAAACTCGCTCTTGGAGTCGACACGGAAAATTAATCTTGCAGCAGAGTGACCGAAATTAATTGTTCGGACTACTGCTGAAGACCGGCAGTGAGGGGGCGACGGAATAGTTCGTACTTATCTTGGGAAATAAGAAACGCCGAGAACTGCTGGTGTGGAGTTGAAAAATCCGGAATCCAAAAATCCAAAAAATCCAAAATTCGGCTCGAAGGACCAAATGTTTGGCTGGGGGGAAACTTCTCGATTCACTTCCGTAGAATAAGTAGGAAAAAAAAAACACTTCCCGCGCCGCAGTCACGGAACACCAAAGAAAAAATCACCACCAAAATGAATACCGCAAGAAAAAGTAGTAGGCCGGGGGGGGGCGTGGTTAGTTTCAATGGTAACGAGGACTTGGTCCGCTTTATTCGATTTCATAATAGTATTTAAAAATGTACAAGCGGGAGTGAGAGATCAGAACCGCCGATCGCCCAGAGTCGAAAGCGTCCGCTAGAAGAGCGAGAGCGCAAGCTGTGCAAGAGCGCAAGCTGAGAGCGAGAGCGCAAGCTGAGAGCGAGAGCGCGCTGAGGAGCTTTGAAGAAGCGGGAGCGCTTCGGAGTCGCGCGGGGGGAAACCAAAGCTCCTGACCTGAACAATAATAATCACCTAAATAAGCTATATACGTTTTTATTTATCTTAAAATTCCATAGTGTAGTCTAGTTATGTCTTTTCTTTTTATAATGTTATTTTTTTAAATAATATTTTATTAAAATATTTTGTTTTCTCCTTTCAGAACAAAAGGGAAACATGGATATGGAAAAGTTAGTAGGTTGTTGCAATAAAGTTGAAAAATAATCGTAAGATTTTTTTTTTCTAGGTTGGAAAATAATATTTCGATTACCGGATTGTCATCATACTCATCAAATTTTCCTAATTTTAGTGTAAGTATAAAAAGTGGTGTATGTAAGATATTTTATATACATCTTACGTTATATTACCTAATATCGCCTTAATTAATCGTGGCGTAGAGTTATTACCCTGCAGTACCATTCATCAACAATTCATCAACGTTTCATCAATAGCCGAAGGGGTGTTGTTGATGATTCATCGATGAATGGCCATACAAATTACTGATGAATTTAACATGGGCATGTCATAGGCATTCATCAACAACAATTCATCAACAATTAATCAACAATTCATCGATGAATTGTTGATGAATTACTGATGAAAGGCTGATGAAATGTTGATGAATTGTTGATGATTCATCGATGAATTCTTGATGAATTGTTGATGAATAATCAACAATTCATCGATGAATCATCAACAATTCATCAACATTTCATCAGCCTTTCATCAACATTTCATCATCAATTCATCGATGAATTGTTGATGATTTTTTTTTTCATATATAAAAATAAAACTCTTAAATTTTTATTAATATTATTTATTCTAACTAATTCTATAACAAAACTAAAACACAAATATAAAAAATTAAGATTAAGCATCCATATATTAAGAGGCCTGAAGGTCTTTTTGATTCTTGGTGTTCCGCTTTTTATTCATGAAGACCAAATTTATTGCGCAGTATCTTCTCTGGAGGCTCAGTTTTAGTCACTTGGGAAATTGCATCTACAGAAAAAAATTATAATTAATCAAGGGAAAATATATAATTTAATTAAATAAAATTACCCAATATATTGGCCATTACTGCAGTCTGAAAAGAAAATACATACATACATATATAAATATAATATATTAATATATTATATACATATAATAAATAAAATATTATATGTACATTTATAGGCTTCTATTTAATTAAGAACAATCTTTTTACTCACCTTTTTTTATATTTCAATATGGCCCGGAACGTAATTATTGAATTATTTGATTTCTTAATATTTTTAACACACGACACTTCTGCAGTGGAGAACACTTCAACTTGTAATGCAAAGGGAATAAGAAGAAGCAAGACGAAACCGAAAGCCGAAGACCGAACATTTCTTTCCCCCTTCTTTCGCTCTATCACCATCTCTCTCTAATTTTCGGACAGTTGCGTTTCTTAGTTTGTTTCGGACTTCAATAAACGAAGCCCATGCAAATTGTTTTTTTTTTTTTTTGACATGCACCAACAAATCGGACTCGAAGGGAGTTCGGGTATCCGAAGGGAGTTCGGGTTCAAGTAGCAGTCGGCAGAGCGTCGATTCTGTCGACGTCGCAGTCGGCGCGTTGATGAATTGTTGATGAAAAGGCCTATTGATGAAATGTGGTACTGCAGGGTATGTTAAAAAACATACAAGAATGAGCGAAGATTGACCTCTTTGGTTACCGAACTAGTACGTTGTTTCTTTTTTTTTACTTTTCGGGTTATGTGATAGTGGGATCGATCATTAGAAATATATGTAAAGAATGCTACGAAATTATCAATGCATTCGTACTAAGTGGGTTCGAATTAATGTTTTTAATTTAGGACATACATTTATTTACCACTTTGTATAATATGAACTATACTTTAAGGTACTCCCGTGGATGAAGTCTTTCCCTCTTTGTCCAACTGAGTGCATTGTTTATATTATTAAATGCGCAGCGAGTTGCTCAAATTCGAAACAAACTGTTTCTCGCTTTCATCTTTCTCTCGCTTCCCCTTTTACCCTCTCCCCTGATGTGTGAAATAGTGTGGTTCTTCCACTGCTTCGTGTATGGTGCATATTGTTATAAATAAAAATGCAGTTAGCATAAAAGTATCTCATTTATTATTAATGGTAATTCTTAAGTTTCTACTTCAACCATTCACTCAGGCCTGTTCTAGTTTCCACTCGGAAGTGAATTTGATAACATTTGCGGATTTCCCTTTAACATAAGCGAATTTCCCTTGGTGATTTAAGGAAATTTTTTTTAATTTCCCTTAAATTCCCTAACAAAATCAGCTGGTCGCTTTCAACAAAAGAGATTCCCTTGTCTAAGATTTGCTAAAAGGGGCTGATCAAATTTTGGCCCGCTGTAGTCTCCAACTCATAGATAGTAATGAAGCACTAATTTAAATAATAAAATCTAAGGAATACGCATTAAGACAGGAAATAAACATTTAGAAATATTTGTAATTGCAATCAGCTGTTCTGGTGGCAAAATGCTGGAAAGTAGAGTTGCCGAGGGTTTAGAAAAAATTCCCTTCGCATAAAATTTAGTTCAGTTTGTGGATTGAATTGGCTGGTATTTTAAAGAAAAACACTTTTTCATATACTTTACCAAAGTGCAGATATTTTAATTGTAAAACAACATAAAAAGTAATTGTTCGAAATTAATCTTAAATATATGCCGTTTTTTTTGATATGCTGACAACCCTTAAATGGTCCCTCTCAAATACGACACAGCGGCAGCGGATTTGCAATAATGCTGAAGGTTAGAATCGAACCGATTTTAAGGTGCACCCACAAAATAATTATTTATAAATCAAGTACTTTAGTATTAGCTAATTCAATTATGCAATAATGTTCCCAAAACCTCTAGGAATAGATTACAATTAACATTTGTAATATACATATTCGCATTGTATTTTAAAATAATTAATTTCAGATTTTGCGGATTTGAATCCGCCGGCCAAATGGCACACGGAAAGTTTCCGTGCATTTCGTCTGCAAATTAACAGAGACTTAACAGAGGGAAATACGAATCCGTAAAAATTTTTCGGAAGTGAGCATTAGAACAGGTCAGGGAAATCCAAATCCGAATAAATTTTGCGGAAGTGGAAACTAGAACAGGCCTGACTATTTTTTTTTAATGCCTAATAAAGCATTTAAGCGCGGCAGTTCAATGCTCCTTTGTCTGAGGCAACTACATCAATAGTTAATATAAATATACGCGAGCAGCGCAGAACAACCACCTATACATAAGAATAAGTACGACGTAATGGAGAATCCTCTTCTGAAAATGCAAAACATAGAGCGTATACGTCGCAATCGCGGTCCCAAAATCAATGTCGTAAAAATGACGCATAAAAGAAACAGATTTAACTTTCCTTCGTCGGCACAGAATCAATCACTGAACGTATATAAAAAATATTCATATAATAAATAGATCTCAACCTTCTACAAGATTCACGCATGCGAGACCAGTAAAAAGACTAAGTTTTGGAAAATCATCTTCTGAAAATTCAGTTCGTCTCGCAAATCAGATCGTGTATGCGTCGAAATCTCTGGCTCCAGAATGGATTTCCTAACGAAAATCAGCAATATGCATTAGAATAACACATCTTAACTTTCCTTCTGAAAATTCAAAATCGCAAACAAATCTAGAAACATCTGGCGCCGGACATTCGCTTCGCTTGTCAGAATTAAATGAAAAATTATTCCAACTGAAACGAACTCTAGTAGCGACAAAAGTCGCTGACACCTAGGAGGGGTAATGCAATTTTAACTTATACTAAAATATTGGCATTATTAAATTCCACATATATTATATCATCATAGCATCCATGCCCCAAGCATTGAATAAATTTATTAGATTTAGATATTAATTTGTCACCTATAACTAAAAGTCAGCAGTTTTAACTGGATTTTAAACGCCCGATCGCCTCTGTGTTAGGACTACAAGGTCCTGCTCTACAACTCCACTCTAAAGCCAATATGGACGTATGGCTTCCAGCTTCGGGGAAACGCGCGGCACGCCGAAGTTTGTATACCCTTGCAGATTGGTTTTGATATATATATTATAAATTATAATGCCGAAAACAGACACTAAACAGAGTTTCATAACATTTTACCTATACTTATTATGTTTACTGTTTGACAGTTACAGTTTTACACTCCCAGCTTTACATTTTCTCTACGGATCGCTTCTATGGCAGCTGTATGATATAGTTGTCCGATTTTCATAATATTGTTACCAAAATTCTGAAATAATACCAAAAGCTCATGTCTCAAAGTAGATGAAAATACGTTGAAAAACAACGACATTATAATTTTTTTCCTATTAATTTCCCGATTGTTCCTATGGTAGCTATATGATATAGTTGTCCGATTTTCATGAAATTTTTATCGAAATTCTGAAATAATATAAAATGGCCATATCTAAAAAATAAAAAAATTTTGAATAGTTATAATATTTTTTTCTAAAAATTTATTGAACATTTGTATGGAAGCTATATTATATAGTCGTCCGATCCGGCCCGTTCCAACATATATAGCAGTGAAAGTATATAGAAGACTATATGCAAAGTTTCATTCAGATAGCTTTAAAACTGAGGGACTAGTTTGCGTAGAAACGAACAGACGGACGGACAGACGGACATGGCTAGATCGACTCGGCTGTTGATGCTGATCAAGAATATATATACTTTATAGGGTCGGAAACGTCTTCTTCACTGCGTTGCAAACTTCTGACTGAAATTATAATACCCTGCAAGGGTATAAAAACAAAGAATAAAAAAGAAGACATTCTTTGAAATGATAAAGTGGTATGTGCTGCGCGTCTGAAAAAGTTTTTTGCTCGAATATAATTATTTAAAAAGGTCGGTGGTTATAGTGATGCAAGTAGAGTTGTTAATTGAAAGCTATAGCTCGGTTACAACATAAGGGAGCAGTAGGGCAGGGCAGGTGCACCTGGAGTACGACATACACCCCGAAACTCACTGCGCTTAACTATAGAGGATCTAATTCTAAGCAAATTTTAATGGAGCTGCAAAATATAAATTTGATTAAGCTTGATACCGCTTAAAAATCAACAACATCTGAAGCTGACCTTCCTGGTGCCGACGCGTCTTCCTGGTGTTGGGTTAGGTTAAACCGGCCAGCCCTCACGGGGCCACGCATAGCGCAATGTGGCCCTTAGTTTTCTGGAAAATTTCTGGGTTTCGAGGTCCTTGAAGATCAAGAAGATCGCCTGGCTTCCTCCTTGACGCATCTTTTAGCGATGCCAGAACCAGAGAGCCTAGGTATCTTATCCTTGCCCTCGTTAGGGCCGGACATTTGCAAATGAGATACTCCAAGGTTTCGGTTGTCTCGGATTCATCCCATTTCCGGAATTTTGCATTGTCAGTGATATCCAGCTTGACTGCATGTGCAGCGGACAGGCAGTGATCTTTTAAAATAGTGAGTGAGTTTCTCGTTGCGCTCTTTGCACTTGATTTTTGATATTCTGCAGGTTGTGGAATTACTTCTGCACCTGCTTATTGCGCTTGCTTCAGCCCTTCTCTCTAGCTCCCTTTGGAGCGTTTTTAGGAATACAGGAAAGTTTTCTGATCTTTCACTCGCCAGTCCGACACCTTCCTTTGCAAATTTGTCCTCAATATCTTCACTGTCTATGCCCTAGTGGCTCTGTCGCTTTTCCTGATGGCGAATACTTCCGCCTGTAATATACTGCAATGGCTTGGTATCTTATACGACCGCCTTATTTCAGGGTCTGAAAAGTATATGCCCGCTCCAACTCCTCCATCCATCTTGGAGCCGTCGGTGCATATATTGAGGTATTAAGCATGGTCCTGGCCTGACTTCCAGTCATTTGGTCCCATGAATACTGTTGTGTTTACACCCGGGCACGTTCTGGGTATCACGCAGTCAGATGTACTGATCATATATCGACCAATTGAACTGTGCCCGAAACCTTGTAGCGACCAGTTTCGTGATGCAACCTGACGTTGTGCCGCCTTTCCTGCTGTCAGTTGCGCTTGGATATCTAGGGGGGCTTTGGTAGGGGTTGATCCTAGCGCCCCTGATATGCAGAGCAGTGCCTGCCGCTGGGTTCTCTCCATAAGCTTATTATACACTTTCTTCTTCATGGCTTGCCACCACACTAAAACTCCATACAGCAGAGTCGGACGCACCACCGATAGGTAGACCCAATGCATTAGAGCGGGTGAGAGGCCCCATGTGCTGTTAAGCATCTTCTTGGATGCATATAGCGCTATGGTGGCCTTTTTCACCCTCTCTACTACATTGGCCTTCCACGTCAGCTTGCTGTCAAGTACAATGCCGAGGTATTTGAATTGTGTTTTCGGGGTCAGCCTAGTTTTGTTAATTTTTGGGGGATCCATTGCGGCACCTTGTATCTCTTGGTGAAGAGATTGAGGTCCGACTTATCCGCATTAATATTGAGTCCTACCTTCTCCGCCCACTCACATATCTCCCTGAGCGTTGTTTCCACGATCGAGCTGAGCGTCGATGGACAGACTCCCGTAATAATTAAGCTTATATCATTCGCTTAAGCTGTTATCTTTGGTGCTTTCCTCTCGACTCTCTTGATTAGGTCGTCTGCCACCATAGGTTCGCTCCTTCTCCACCATGGAAGCGGTGCCCCAATCTGATTGAACCCGCCGGTAACTTAAAAGATTTTTTATCCACAAGTTAATAGCGGGGGGCGTGTTGGGCGCATCTAGGCCATTATTGCGTCCGTGCTAACGTTGTTGAACGCCTCGGATATGTCCACGAACACCACGAGTGCATATTACTTATTGTTTAAGGCTCTCTCAATGGTGGCTACCAAAGAATGTAGTGCCGTCTTCACGAAGGAGACTTCGTGTAGGCATGCTGGTTGGTCGACAGTACCAACCCTTCATCGTTCCTGAGGTATGTCCTTATTTACATACCTCAGTGGAGCCTGGGAAATGAGCTTGCATTAGTGCTCTTAGGGCCTCTTCGCTGCCCTCAGTCCACTGTCCGTCGTCACGTTTGAGCTGACTCTGTATGGTTGGCTGCTTCGATAGTAGCTATTTCCCCCTTGTAGCCCCTTTGCAGGACTTTGTATTCCTCATTGATGATATCATCTTTCGCCTGCTTGGCGATTTGAAGAATTCTTTGAATTTGTTTCGTTGAAGTGAAAGATCCTTTTTCCGCCAGGGTGGCCTGAGTCCCTTTATCGTGTCCGATATTGGACATGATGTGAGGTTTTTTGAAGAGGTTCTCTAGGGACTTTTCCTGTGGTGCTCGTTGGCGTCAGCACCCTCAAGCAGTTGCTGGTCCTTTGGGCTTCCTTCTACCAAGCTCCTACGTTCTTCTGGTGAGGCCCTCCTGTTGTTTGCCATATTGCGGGAAGCTTCCAAGAGGCGCTTCTTTCCGCTCTCTTACATCACTACAGTTAGGTCATCAGAGCTGTAAGAGAGCTTCTTCGTCGGACTCGTCCAGCGTCAATCCCTGGGGGTATCAACGATGGTTTCCAGACCTAGGTCCTTCTCCACCTCGCCTTCCTTCAGGATGTGAGCATTCTTATCCCCGGAATGACATTTTTTGAGGCGCAGGTATACACTACCCAATACCCATCTTCCCGTATCTGGGATAGAGGATGTGCTCTGCCTCCTTGTTTATCTGGAGGACTGCACTTGGGTAATGGGGTCCATCGTACAGAACCTTTCAGTCCACGGTTGGGATGTCTGGATTCTGACGCTGCAGCAGCTTCAGCGCCCGGTCCCCTAGGATTGCTATGGGGAGAGTACCTTCGCCTTGGGTATGAATGGGATTAGCTCCCTGTCCACCACCTCCAGCTTAGCCCCCTCCCATAGTAACTCCAACTGGCGACCGCTTGCGTCATCCACTTTCTCGTCGGGTCATCCATGCACTTCAGGATTTTTATCCCATTTATCCACTCAGCACCATCAAAGGCGGGATCTTCCTCCATCCGTGCAAACAATGACTCAACGAGCCGCGTATGCACCAACTTCCACCACACCTCGGTCATCTTGCCGGCTTTATCGCTTCTGTCAATGAGTGCCAAGATCAAATGTCGTTTGGTCACCTCGCTGACTTTTCCTGTCTTGTGTGGCTTTTTCGCTTTTTTAGGGAGGGCCTGCCTCCTTAGGCCCGCATTGCCGCTTTCTCCCCGGTGCGTCCTTACTAGCGCTCTCGGCTGAGCGTTGCCTTTTGTTGGCAAGCGTCTCCTCCACCTTGTTAGTTAATCCGCCTGTTGAGTTTATGTAGGGGAGTTTAGCGAGCTTTACCTTCTCAGCTGGGGATAGGGCGTCTTTTTACTTTTTTAGCCCGTCCCTACGCTGGTGCCTGGTTTCGGCGAGCGGAGAAGGCCTTCCTCCTCCTTTTTGGAGAGCGGCACGCTCTCAAGGTCCGAGTCTGTATCAACTATGGCACGTGAGGGGCTTAGCTTCCCCTGCATCGTTATTGTGACAGTAGCGTTGCTAATGGTTCATCGCGGACAGAGCAAGGAGCGTGACCGGCTTAATAGAGTGGTCTGTATTGCCCAGCACGGCGCCCTCGTGAAGGAGGATTTTTGCCAGCCGTACAAAAAACATTAAAAAAAACCATTGCCTTAACTGTACAGTGTTCTCAAAAGAAGTCACTGCTAAAGCGCAATATAGTCGGCCATAGCCTGCCGTGTGCTGTCGGACATCTTCCATTTTAATTCTATTAGTTTAAACTCCCACCATATATTTCCCTCAGAGATGAGCTTCACACTATGAAAAACGGATTTTAATTTAAGTAATGTAGTAATCTGTCAACAAAAAATAAGTATTTTTTCTTCTAATGATTTTTTTTTTCAGATGCAAACTCTGTTAAACTACAGCCTGGGGCCTTCATTCAACTATTCTCTAAATCAAAACTATTATGATGGCCTTAAATATTACCAAAAATACTCACCCCATCAAATTGACTTATATTTAAAGGATCAAATACTTAATTCATCATCCTATGGAAATCCAATTTTTACGAATACCCAAAGCTTACCTGATAATTCAAGCTCTTCAATGATATCAAATTTACGTACAAACAACCTGCAAAATATAAGTTCATCGACAGGAGTCAGTGTTTCTTGCCCTGGCAATTCACTTTCGACACTTGAACATTACCAGCTCTTGTTGGGAAATTCGCTTAACTATCAACTATCCAATTCAACTATTAACTATCCAAATCAAAGCGACGTATCTAAAAAAGGGATATCACAAAAACAGATTGAAAGTTCATCTATTGAAAAACACAATATTAATATTTGCGACGACTACTTTAATCAAAACGTAGTCGCACATCCTTAACCAAATGTCAGTCAACCTATAAATTCCGTTGATTGTCATTCATTTTCAGATTCAAAACGGCCTATTCAAAGTAAAGAAACTAATGAAACTGCTCAATTAACTAACAAGGCTATAACAAATAAAACTTGTAAACTAAAGGAAAACAATACCTTATCGGTTGAAAATAATAATTCCCTTACTGAAAACATAAGTACACAAAAATATTTTAGTACTAACATTATTTCAAAGGAAAGTCGTCTACCAGTGTCTAATAGTACTCCTAAGCAGTTATATGGGACACCTAGTATATCTCTTATTTCAATCGATACTATTAATCATAATAATACAAATAATGTTCAAATTGAAACTGAATCGCGAATCCCAGAAAAAAATATGCATCTTAAAAGGATGGTTAAGAAATCTATTGGTCCTAAATTAACGTTTACAAAATTAACTAAAATACAGAAAGATTCCCGTCAATTTGAATTTTTGACGTCGATTTCTTCAGCTATCTCTAAGAACGTAAATCAAGAAACATCTCATTCAGAATTGCACACTATGGAATGTCGCCAAAATGTACCCTCAAAAGCCACTGTTATAAAAAAGTCTTCGCTTACAGGAGGTTGGAAAAAAAAATGACAAACCAAATATGAACGAATTTATTAATTCATTACTAAAGAAAAGTAGAGACTCAGATCCAGTCAAATATTATGAGGAAAAGGCAATACAGAACAAAAGTAACCAACACTCAGAACATGTTCATCAAGGCTTTGACGAATCGAATGCCCGCTTTATTCGGTAAGATAAAAGTTTAAAACATATCTTTATTATAAGTATAAAAATGAATGCTGCGGCCAAGAACGTGTTTGTTCGTGAAGGAAATAAACAGAAAAGGATGCTAGGAAACTACTACAGGCGTGCTGCCGTATTGGTTGCTTTCATGCGTACTAAGTGGGTTAAGATTATAGTTTATAGTAGAGGAAATTTGGCGCCGGACATTCGCTTCGCTTGTCAGAATTAAATGAAAAATTATTCCAACTGAAACGAACTCTAGTAGCGACAAAAGTCGCTGACACCTAGGAGGGGTAATGCAATTTTAACTTATACTAAAATATTGGCATTATTAAATTCCACATATATTATATCATCATAGCATCCATGCCCCAAGCATTGAATAAATTTATTAGATTTAGATATTAATTTGTCACCTATAACTAAAAGTCAGCAGTTTTAACTGGATTTTAAACGCCCGATCGCCTCTGTGTTAGGACTACAAGGTCCTGCTCTACAACTCCACTCTAAAGCCAATATGGACGTATGGCTTCCAGCTTCGGGGAAACGCGCGGCACGCCGAAGTTTGTATACCCTTGCAGATTGGTTTTGATATATATATTATAAATTATAATGCCGAAAACAGACACTAAACAGAGTTTCATAACATTTTACCTATACTTATTATGTTTACTGTTTGACAGTTACAGTTTTACACTCCCAGCTTTACATTTTCTCTACGGATCGCTTCTATGGCAGCTGTATGATATAGTTGTCCGATTTTCATAATATTGTTACCAAAATTCTGAAATAATACCAAAAGCTCATGTCTCAAAGTAGATGAAAATACGTTGAAAAACAACGACGTTATAATTTTTTTCCTATTAATTTCCCGATTGTTCCTATGGTAGCTATATGATATAGTTGTCCGATTTTCATGAAATTTTTATCGAAATTCTGAAATAATATAAAATGGCCATATCTAAAAAATAAAAAAATTTTGAATAGTTATAATATTTTTTTCTAAAAATTTATTGAACATTTGTATGGAAGCTATATTATATAGTCGTCCGATCCGGCCCGTTCCAACATATATAGCAGTGAAAGTATATAGAAGACTATATGCAAAGTTTCATTCAGATAGCTTTAAAACTGAGGGACTAGTTTGCGTAGAAACGAACAGACGGACGGACAGACGGACATGGCTAGATCGACTCGGCTGTTGATGCTGATCAAGAATATATATACTTTATAGGGTCGGAAACGTCTTCTTCACTGCGTTGCAAACTTCTGACTGAAATTATAATACCCTGCAAGGGTATAAAAACAAAGAATAAAAAAGAAGACATTCTTTGAAATGATAAAGTGGTATGTGCTGCGCGTCTGAAAAAGTTTTTTGCTCGAATATAATTATTTAAAAAGGTCGGTGGTTATAGTGATGCAAGTAGAGTTGTTAATTGAAAGCTATAGCTCGGTTACAACATAAGGGAGCAGTAGGGCAGGGCAGGTGCACCTGGAGTACGACATACACCCCGAAACTCACTGCGCTTAACTATAGAGGATCTAATTCTAAGCAAATTTTAATGGAGCTGCAAAATATAAATTTGATTAAGCTTGATACCGCTTAAAAATCAACAACATCTGAAGCTGACCTTCCTGGTGCCGACGCGTCTTCCTGGTGTTGGGTTAGGTTAAACCGGCCAGCCCTCACGGGGCCACGCATAGCGCAATGTGGCCCTTAGTTTTCTGGAAAATTTCTGGGTTTCGAGGTCCTTGAAGATCAAGAAGTTCGCCTGGCTTCCTCCTTGACGCATCTTTTAGCGATGCCAGAACCAGAGAGCCTAGGTATCTTATCCTTGCCCTCGTTAGGGCCGGACATTTGCAAATGAGATACTCCAAGGTTTCGGTTGTCTCGGATTCATCCCATTTCCGGAATTTTGCATTGTCAGTGATATCCAGCTTGACTGCATGTGCAGCGGACAGGCAGTGATCTTTTAAAATAGTGAGTGAGTTTCTCGTTGCGCTCTTTGCACTTGATTTTTGATATTCTGCAGGTTGTGGAATTACTTCTGCACCTGCTTATTGCGCTTGCTTCAGCCCTTCTCTCTAGCTCCCTTTGGAGCGTTTTTAGGAATACAGGAAAGTTTTCTGATCTTTCACTCGCCAGTCCGACACCTTCCTTTGCAAATTTGTCCTCAATATCTTCACTGTCTATGCCCTAGTGGCTCTGTCGCTTTTCCTGATGGCGAATACTTCCGCCTGTAATATACTGCAATGGCTTGGTATCTTATACGACCGCCTTATTTCAGGGTCTGAAAAGTATATGCCCGCTCCAACTCCTCCATCCATCTTGGAGCCGTCGGTGCATATATTGAGGTATTAAGCATGGTCCTGGCCTGACTTCCAGTCATTTGGTCCCATGAATACTGTTGTGTTTACACCCGGGCACGTTCTGGGTATCACGCAGTCAGATGTACTGATCATATATCGACCAATTGAACTGTGCCCGAAACCTTGTAGCGACCAGTTTCGTGATGCAACCTGACGTTGTGCCGCCTTTCCTGCTGTCAGTTGCGCTTGGATATCTAGGGGGGCTTTGGTAGGGGTTGATCCTAGCGCCCCTGATATGCAGAGCAGTGCCTGCCGCTGGGTTCTCTCCATAAGCTTATTATACACTTTCTTCTTCATGGCTTGCCACCACACTAAAACTCCATACAGCAGAGTCGGACGCACCACCGATAGGTAGACCCAATGCATTAGAGCGGGTGAGAGGCCCCATGTGCTGTTAAGCATCTTCTTGGATGCATATAGCGCTATGGTGGCCTTTTTCACCCTCTCTACTACATTGGCCTTCCACGTCAGCTTGCTGTCAAGTACAATGCCGAGGTATTTGAATTGTGTTTTCGGGGTCAGCCTAGTTTTGTTAATTTTTGGGGGATCCATTGCGGCACCTTGTATCTCTTGGTGAAGAGATTGAGGTCCGACTTATCCGCATTAATATTGAGTCCTACCTTCTCCGCCCACTCACATATCTCCCTGAGCGTTGTTTCCACGATCGAGCTGAGCGTCGATGGACAGACTCCCGTAATAATTAAGCTTATATCATTCGCTTAAGCTGTTATCTTTGGTGCTTTCCTCTCGACTCTCTTGATTAGGTCGTCTGCCACCATAGGTTCGCTCCTTCTCCACCATGGAAGCGGTGCCCCAATCTGATTGAACCCGCCGGTAACTTAAAAGATTTTTTATCCACAAGTTAATAGCGGGGGGCGTGTTGGGCGCATCTAGGCCATTATTGCGTCCGTGCTAACGTTGTTGAACGCCTCGGATATGTCCACGAACACCACGAGTGCATATTACTTATTGTTTAAGGCTCTCTCAATGGTGGCTACCAAAGAATGTAGTGCCGTCTTCACGAAGGAGACTTCGTGTAGGCATGCTGGTTGGTCGACAGTACCAACCCTTCATCGTTCCTGAGGTATGTCCTTATTTACATTGGATACCTCAGTGGAGCCTGGGAAATGAGCTTGCATTAGTGCTCTTAGGGCCTCTTCGCTGCCCTCAGTCCACTGTCCGTCGTCACGTTTGAGCTGACTCTGTATGGTTGGCTGCTTCGATAGTAGCTATTTCCCCCTTGTAGCCCCTTTGCAGGACTTTGTATTCCTCATTGATGATATCATCTTTCGCCTGCTTGGCGATTTGAAGAATTCTTTGAATTTGTTTCGTTGAAGTGAAAGATCCTTTTTCCGCCAGGGTGGCCTGAGTCCCTTTATCGTGTCCGATATTGGACATGATGTGAGGTTTTTTGAAGAGGTTCTCTAGGGACTTTTCCTGTGGTGCTCGCTGGCGTCAGCACCCTCAAGCAGTTGCTGGTCCTTTGGGCTTCCTTCTACCAAGCTCCTACGTTCTTCTGGTGAGGCCCTCCTGTTGTTTGCCATATTGCGGGAAGCTTCCAAGAGGCGCTTCTTTCCGCTCTCTTACATCACTACAGTTAGGTCATCAGAGCTGTAAGAGAGCTTCTTCGTCGGACTCGTCCAGCGTCAATCCCTGGGGGGTATCAACGATGGTTTCCAGACCTAGGTCCTTCTCCACCTCGCCTTCCTTCAGGATGTGAGCATTCTTATCCCCGGAATGACATTTTTTGAGGCGCAGGTATACACTACCCAATACCCATCTTCCCGTATCTGGGATAGAGGATGTGCTCTGCCTCCTTGTTTATCTGGAGGACTGCACTTGGGTAATGGGGTCCATCGTACAGAACCTTTCAGTCCACGGTTGGGATGTCTGGATTCTGACGCTGCAGCAGCTTCAGCGCCCGGTCCCCTAGGATTGCTATGGGGAGAGTACCTTCGCCTTGGGTATGAATGGGATTAGCTCCCTGTCCACCACCTCCAGCTTAGCCCCCTCCCATAGTAACTCCAACTGGCGACCGCTTGCGTCATCCACTTTCTCGTCGGGTCATCCATGCACTTCAGGATTTTTATCCCATTTATCCACTCAGCACCATCAAAGGCGGGATCTTCCTCCATCCGTGCAAACAATGACTCAACGAGCCGCGTATGCACCAACTTCCACCACACCTCGGTCACCTTGCCGGCTTTATCGCTTCTGTCAATGAGTGCCAAGATCAAATGTCGTTTGGTCACCTCGCTGACTTTTCCTGTCTTGTGTGGCTTTTTCGCTTTTTTAGGGAGGGCCTGCCTCCTTAGGCCCGCATTGCCGCTTTCTCCCCGGTGCGTCCTTACTAGCGCTCTCGGCTGAGCGTTGCCTTTTGTTGGCAAGCGTCTCCTCCACCTTGTTAGTTAATCCGCCTGTTGAGTTTATGTAGGGGAGTTTAGCGAGCTTTACCTTCTCAGCTGGGGATAGGGCGTCTTTTTACTTTTTTTAGCCCGTCCCTACGCTGGTGCCTGGTTTCGGCGAGCGGAGAAGGCCTTCCTCCTCCTTTTTGGAGAGCGGCACGCTCTCAAGGTCCGAGTCTGTATCAACTATGGCACGTGAGGGGCTTAGCTTCCCCTGCATC